GAGATTTAGGAGCTGTGTCGCCCACTAAACAAATGTTTGTTTGATGACGTGTTCTATTGTAACCAACCAATTTGATTGTTGTGTTCTATTATAACCAACCAGTTTGATTGTTGTGTTCTATTATAACCAACCAGTTTGATTGTTGTGTTCTATTATAACCAACCAATTTGTAGCCATTTGTTTACTCGCCATTGTTGTGTTCTATTATAAACAACCAATTTGATTGTTGTGTTCTATTATAATATATAAAATATTGGTACAACAATATATAGAGATAGATATTCACCAAGTTTCGAGGTGACTGAGCCAGAAAGCGTGCTATTATCGGTAAAGAAAGCCATCGCCTTTGATACAAACACAATCACCGTCCATGAACGCGGATTGTCGAGACTACAGACATCCTGAGCTAACAATTCGACCAACAAATACAATAACCAAGTAAAGCGACGTAATTGCACGACAAATATTTCCACAGTTAACCACAAATGACGTTAAGGACGTCTAAAACGATTAAATGACGTCTTGTTTCATCGTGTCAGCACGAATTTGTGGGAAAAGCATTTTTAGTCGAAGACCTCATACGAACGAGAAGACTTCGTTGCCATGCAGATATGTGGGTTTTCGAATTATTTAACCCAGTATTACCTCCGCATCTCTCTTCAGCCAATATAAATCAAGATAATGAAATCAAAACAAAGAACAAATTACCCGTTGTGGGCGTGGAGAATGTAGAGTGGGGCCCCAGGTTTTTTACACGTGCCGGCAGAGAAAAAATTCCCTCGATACCGAAAACTGACAGGAATTTAATATTACGCTTTACAGCAGCTTTAAAGGGTTAAAAAAAAATTTTAATTACGTGTCATTTAGGACAGCGATGTTTCAGGACTTTAATATGAGTCAAAATATTCATTGAAAATATGTCTGAAAAACCTTCTGTTGGAATACACAGAGGATAAATGTTGAACAGCATGTTATTTTATAAATCTGGTTCAGTCAGTAGGATGCGCGAAGTTGTTCAACGTGTGGGCCACAAACACAACAGACCGTCTCACTCAGGGATGGCCAACCCAAATGATCTTTCGGGCCACTTTGGAAATGCATCATAACTCCGCGGGCCACATATAAAATTATATATCCCCATATTAGATTTAGATACACTATAGACATTTTTTTGGAGTGAAAAATTGAAACATAATGAGTTATTATTATTGTGTTTACTATTATTCTTACATGTAAACATAGACAACACACTGCAGGGGTGGCCAACCCAAATGATCTTTCGGGCCACTTTGGAAATGCATCATAACTCCGCGGGCCACATATAAAATTATATATCCCCATATTAGATTTAGATACACTATAGACATTTTTTTGGAGTGAAAAATTGAAACATAATGAGTTATTATTATTGTGTTTACTATTATTCTTACATGTAAACATAGATAATATTATAAAATAAATATATTTTGTAAAACTGTGATGAATCTCGCGGGCCGGAAAAATGTTCAAGGCGGGCCACATGCGGCCCGCGGGCCGCGGGTTGGCCACCCCTGGTCTCACTGATCCCTGTATCTTAAAAAAAACTCAGTGGTACTTGGTGTCTGCGATTTCTCTGTAGACGTTCACCTCAACTGTCGAAATATATTTTCTTAAGCACAGGATGACGGGTGTCCATTTATCATGATGGTACTCCAGCACAGTCAAGTCTGTAAGGGAGTGGTTAGTCATGCATTACCCTGGATGTTGGATCGGTCGTGGTCCCAAAGTTCCTG